GACCCTAAAGAAGAGTTGAGAATTAATCTTGAAATGTGTCTTGCCTACAATTTTCTTGACAACTTCCACAGTGGTCTTGGATTGGCTTTCTATTATGTGATGTCCTGCATTCATCTTCTGCTTCCTTGGACTCACTGGGCATTTCACAATGAGAAAAACCTGTTCCTTTTTCTAGACAAGGATCACCATTAAATGTGAAAAGATAAGTTCTGATCAAAATAAATTCAAACTGTGGAAATGGTCTTTTTGTGTGTACATATATCTGTTAAGCCAATGAGGAGAATTTAGATTAACATTCTCTTCCACATTAACGTTCTAGAAGGGCTAAAATTAAAAAGAACAACAATGCCAAGTGTCGACAAGGAGATGGAGCAAGTCATATACTACTGATGAAAGTGTAACCTAATACATTTACTTCGGGAAACTGGTAACATCTGCTAAAGAAAATATCTGCCAACCTATCACCCAGCAATTCTACTCCTAGGTGTACACCAAAGAGAAGAACACATATCCACCAAAACATAAATATATGGACATTCACAAATGAAAACGAACCACATGTCCATCAACAGGTGAACAGGTAACTGCTGAGGCATATTCACATAAAATACTACTCAGCAATTTTAAAAAGAACCAACTACTACTACATAACCATTAATGTGGATGAATTTCATGTTGAGCAAAAGAAGTCAGAACACCAGGAAGTATATACTATAAACATCAAGAAAATCCAAACTAATCTAAATGATAAATGTGGGCCTGGCACTCTGGGAGGCTGAGGCGGGTGGATTTCCTGAGCTCACAGGTTGGAGACTAGCCTGAGCAAGAGTGAGACCCCCGTCTCTAAAAACAGCCAGGCATTGTGGTGGGCGCTTGTAGTCCCAGCTACTTGGGAGGCTGAGGCAGGCAAATAGCCTAAGCCCAAGGGCTGGAGGTTGCTGTGAGCTGTGATGCCAGAGCACTCTACCCAGGGTGATAAAGTAAGACTCTGTCTCTTAAAAAAAAAAAAACCAGCAGTGAGAATATTCTATATGATACTATAGTGTTGGAAACTTATCATTATACATTTGTCAAAATCCGTATAACATAAAACACCAAGACTTTGAGCGATGATAATGTGTCAATGTTGGTTCATCAGTGGTAACAAATGTATCACCCTAGTATGGGATGCTGATGGTGAGGAAGGCTTGAGTATGTTTGTGGCAGGGAAGAGGTAGGAGAACTCCACATTTTCTGCTTGATTTTGCTGTAAATCTAAACTATTTTAAATATTGGTCTATTTTTTAAAAAGTAATAACCTCCATGATGAAATAATTAATCTAAGCAAGATCATCGGTAAATGCTAATATCACAAAAAAGATAACTAGACATTATATGCCCCCGATGGAAGTATACATACAGCATCATCCAAGAAATAGTCTTGAAAACAAAGAGAGAAATAGGAAGAAAAAAGATGGAAAAAAATCAAGTTTTTAGATCTAATTATATTTTACAGGAAATAAAGAGGTAGAGGAATACGTTAACACCACAGGTATTCAATCAGCAAATTCAAAATGTGGAAAGCTTTAGAAGATTAATAAACCCAATTTTTTAACAAATAATTTGAAAGAAAAATAAAATAAAAAGGAAAGGACCCTATAGATTAAAAGAGTTTAGGAATCAAAGAAATGTGTCAATCTAGCTTAGGTCTTTGTTTGAACAAAACAACTACTAAAAACAACAAAAAAGTGGTATATAAATAAAATAATTAAAAACAGGTACTCAAATACATATACACATATGTTCATATCAGTACTAGTTACAATAAATACAAGGTGGAAACAACCCAAGTGTCCATGAACAGATGAACAGATGAGCAAATTGGGGTGCATGTGTGTGTATGTATGCACACACACACACACACACACACACAATGGAACTTTAGTCAACCAAAGTAAGCAGTAAGATATGACACCTGCCCCAACCTTGGATGGACACTGAAAATGTTCTGCTGAATGAAGGGAGCCAGACACAAGAGATCACATGTTGCATGAACCCATTTGTATGAAATATCCAGAATAGGTCAATCCACTGGGACAGACAGGGAAACACAAATCAACGCTTAATGGGTATGAGGTTTTCTTTTGAGGTGATGGAAAGATTTAAGAACTAGATCAAGGTGGAGGTTACACAACACTGAATTGTTCACTTTAAAATGGCCAATTTTGTTATGTGATTTTCACCTCAATTTAAAAATTAAAAAATAAAACT